TTGGGGGGGTTGATGGTGGGGCAGTCAGGGTGAGGGAGGGTGGTGAGTGAGTGTGTGTGTTTCTGTATGTCTGCAGGTGTGGTTGTGTGTGTGTGGGTGTCCATGTGGCAGAAGTTAGGAGGAATTGAAAGAGCTCTTACACTCTGCCTTTATGGACCCACAGTTAATGGGGACAAAGGGCCGGCGCGCAGCGCGGCGCAGCCTGATGATGTCACGGCACATGTGCCGGGCCAGCTTGGTGAGGCGGGTGGCCTGCAGCAGGAAAGCCTGCTTGGTCTTCATGGAGGACTTCGGGCTGCCGCTGTTTCGCATCGGCACCATGTGGTTGGACTGGCGAGGAGCGTGGCCCCGTGAGCGAGGCTCCTGGGAGGGAAGGAGGGACAGGAAAAAGGCCACTGAATACAGTTTTACTCATGAATAAAAAACAGTTTAGGTGTTTAATAAAGGTTTAATATGAGCGATGTAGTCCGACAGACTTAACTTTGATTGTTGCTTATTTAGTCACATATTTTATATTTGGAAATCAATCAGATTTTGAAATTTTTTAAGTTTTCAGGACCAGATATTCGCCCCACGTCCAGCCTCCACATCTCAATGTATTTTATTTTGAAAGCGTGCTCCTGTCATGAAAGCGGCCATTTTTAAAGGCTAAAAAAAATGTTACACCCACTTGGTGGAATACATAACAAGGTGCTAAAATTGTATCAGCACCTAAAGAAGTTGACACAAAATACCAACATTTTAGCTTTAAGATCAACCAATAAATCCCACCTTCACAAAGGTTCATATGTTAAAGAGGTGTTGACTCGACTGTAGAATCACTTTGGAGGCTTTGTGTATTGCTGTTACACAGAGAGGTGATTGTAATACTTTGTCTATCCTGTTTATGTCAATGACGGTTACTACAGCTTCCAAAATGACCATAAAGTCTAATCAGCAGCTTATTAAAAACACTTAAAAAGCAGAACTGAACATTACAACCTGCATGCAGGTGGGTTTACTGCGGGGCTGTTGTATTAGACCGTATTACATAACCGGCAGTGCAGAGAGCACATTGTTAAACGAAAGTGGGCGACAATAGACCTTTTTAAGGTCTAAATAAATAAAGCTGCTGCAATCCTTTTATGTGAGACAATCCAGGGTTTCTGCTGTTTGTGCATGCATGCAGAGATGTTTTAATAAAAAAAAATAAAACATCATGCATGTTATTAATTAAACCTGTGCAGAAACAGGGTTGGAGTTTGGGTCTTTGCATTGCATCCTAAACAAAATGGATTCCTAACAACCAAAAATGGACCTTTAGAAAAGAAATGCTGAAAGAGGAAACAAAAAAATAACATTCTTTTGTATAATTTCCTTAAAATATAATATTTACATCAGCCTGACTACAGTGTGGCAGCTGTGCAGCATTTAAATGCCAGTCACTATGAAATACAGGACACATTTTGCATCCCAGTGTCGACATATAGAAATTAAATCTCCTAACTGGTCACTTTTCTCACTCGGTAAAAGAAATCCACACGATAAATGTGGAAATTGTGTGATTGTATGAATATGTGAGATGCCGTAAGTGATGTTTTGAGCTCACTGAATAATTGATGTTGACGTCACTTGTATACTGCAGATGTTACAACCTAACAGAGCTGCAGTTGTGTGCATCTGGATTTTGTTCCACGCTCTAAAACAGTATTTGGGGATTTAAGCAAATGAGCATGAGATGAGGTGATGTTAAACACGCCTTGAGGAACTGCAGAGCCCCCCCTTCTCTCCCCCCACGCCACCCCATGTGTTTTACATCCGTGCCTTCTGACTGAGCTTACATTGGTTGCTGGAACAGGCGAGGTCCTCTCCTCTGGGCCCTCTGCTCTGCTTGGCATCTTCAGGCCTCCGTACTTCTTCCAGTACATCCAGCAGGAAACGCAAAGGCGGCACTGCATGTTTGGTGGCCCCCATGAGTACCATTGGGCCGACTGCATGCCTGTCGATGCACAACATGCATTAGTGGAGGTTAGAAGCATCGCAGCAGATAACTGGTTCAAAGACACTCAGCATATTGATCTCTATTTCCACGGTCTCAAGTCTCTCCTTAATGATTTTATCAATGTCTATACATCTGACCAAGTCACACTCGTGCCTGCAATTGACTGCTGAGATTAGTACCTTTAGTGACTTTAACATCTCTAGTCTCAGGCCGCACACATGTATTGGTAGGCAGGATAAAATAAATATAGTTGACTATTATTATAGTATAGATTATATTGAAGTTAACAGAAGATTAATTAAAAGATCAATGGCTAAATGCATTTATCAGAGCAATTGCAGCTTCATAAATATCTGTGTTTTCTGTGTTATATCACTGTAAATTAAATATTTTGGCAATTTGAAGACACCACCTTGTGAAACTGTAATCGGCATTTAAATTATTTTCTGACAATTTATAGAAAAAAACCTAAACAGAAATGTTGGCCCTTGCAGCACAGCAAAAGAGCTCCACAGTGAAAAATAATCCGTTAGCTGCCCAACATTAGCATTAGTCTCCCTTACATTGCTAATTGACCCATGATCACCGGCCGTGTGATTAAACTTCATACTCAAACACACAGACAAAACTCACTATAGCAGCTCTCGCAGGCTCGGCCCCCGCCTGCTGCATGGTAGGCCCCGGGGCCCGCTCCATTCACCGTCGCCATCTTGCCATTGGTCATAGAGATCTGGTTGGGGTTGGGCTTGTTACTGCCACAGAGAAGAACGGGAGGAGATTTAGGAAACGGGCTGAGAGTGCAGCTGCTCGCTGCAGTGCTTTGAATCAAAAAACATTAATTATGCATGAAAAGCCACATTCACAGTAATGATTCCTATGAATGTGGAATAAAAAGACTTACTATGTGGGGATATAAACCTGCTTCAGTTTGCTCTCTGCCTCTGCTGCCTTGAGTCTCTTCTGCTCAGAGAGAAACACAGAAGATTGATTCATCAATGACAAAACCTGTCAGACAGTATGACACCCTTCAGAATTAACCCTGATAGGCAACGATTATTATCAAATGTGTCGATGCATTTCAAAAGGTGTCGTTTCCTTTCTTGACAGCTTGCAGTCACACCATTTCCTGATAATCATAATCAATAAAAAGTTTATGTTCATGTTACATATTCTGCTGATTCTCTAATCTAAAGTGACCGCTTGGTGGTCTAATGAAAGATGCTACTGATTTGGCAAATAGAGATTTTGTCTCACCTGTTGCACATATCTGTCTGTGGTCTTCCACATGTAGTAGTACTCTATGATACTAGTCAGAGACTTCCATGGCAGCTTCACGAGAGGAAATAATGAATAAGAGGGGAGAGAGAGAGAGAGAGAGAGAGAAAATTAATGATATTAATATCTCATGTTCTTGCCATCTGGGTGCAACAGCCTTCATGAATATTCATGAGCAGTGTCGTGACCAGAGACGCTGAAAGCTACTGGCTTTTCTTGGTTCTGAGCCCCAGACCAAAACACACACACGTTCACACACAGTGATTCCCACATTCAATAAGTATTCATGAGCACCTGGTGCCCCACACACACACCCATATCCTGTCTCTATAGTACAGTACAGGTGGGGAGGAAAGTTCTATCGAAACAGTCGCCCCTGTAGGCTTGAGGGGCGGCTGTTGAAATTGGTCACATCTCTTTCACAGAACAGTGACTGTGGTCATCTTGAATTCATGAAGCAATGAATTCCCATTGTGACGAGTTTTCACTGAGGAGGAAGGACGTATGAAAACGTCCTTAGAAACGTCCAAAAACACTCCATCAAACTCCTCCACTGTACATCAATACGGTACATACATTTGAAGAAGCCACACTTTCCACTAAAACACAGCTCAACACAACGTCTGCTTTAAACTTCACTCGCGTTTGGGTGCTTACGGTTATCACGCGCAGCCGTACACGAGCATATAAATACACAGCATTGATGTGAATTAAAACACATCTGAGCACCAAATGTCACTATGGCAGTTTGCCGTTTCTCATTAGTGATATGACTTTACACCAACAGTGTGAGCACAGTTATAAACACACACACTTACAAAGTCTTGTCGGATGTCGTTGAAGTCTTTTCCGTATTTCTCTAGTGCCTCCTCGAACATGGCGGCTTCCGAGGCGCTCCACTCCTCCATCTCGTCCCTGCAGAGCACGGGGCCGCCTGCTGGGACCAGCACACTCAGCGCACTGGACAGGTCGTAATTATGACGATGCAGCGTGTCCATCGCATGGAACTGCAACAAAGGCCCAAAGAAAAAAGGGTTACAACTTATCATGTAAGTCACAGCCAGGTACTGCAGAGTGAGTGTGCATTTATCGGTGTGTGTGTGTGTGTGTGTGTGTGTATGTGTGTTCAACTCACCAGTGTGATATCTCGTGAGGCTGCAGCTGCACTCATGTGTAAGCTCGGCTGTCGGACTGAGCTGCTGCAGTCCAACGCTCGAGCAAAGGTCCCAACCGCCCTGAAAAACGACACACACGTTAACAAACTGGCAGAATATAAAGAGAAAGACATAGTGGGATTCATGTGGCAGTTCACTGCTGCGCTGTGACACATCCTCGTCAGAAGCAACGGGGCTAAAAAGAGGCCACGGTGTCGTGTTTGATTATGTGAGTGGGCTACAACACGTGCACAATGAAATCCGGTTTGCACTTGCCGAAAGGCTCAATAGCTGGCGCACAATCATAGAACACGAGGACGATCGATTCATTCCACTGAGGCGTCCGCGGGAATGGAGTCATACAATACTACAGTTATTGAAACGATCTTTAATAAAAGACCATAAACAAATGCTTTCTATATGAAAATGTTCTATTTGTTGGCGACCATCCGTTTGAGCGTCGGCTGTAACCCTCGTACATCGAAACTCCAGTTCCTCTGTGTGCGACCCCACAGCTCCCTTGAGGTCAGAGACCGTGTCCCAGCCTTCATTAAATAGAATATGAAATAGAAGCGCTGACCGATAAATGAAGAGACTCGGTGGCACAGCTCTGAACATGCTTCCAGTAATTGCTAAAGAAAAAAGGTGTGCAAACACGAATCACGACTCAAACACAATAAATGGTTAAACTAAAGTTTTGACACCGATTTGAAGCACAAATCTTTACATTATCATTTTGAATGTAATTTTTTTAAATAATTTTTCCTAACCCTTTGGAGGTGTCCCTCATGTAACAACATTGTGCATTTATTACATTTGCAATGTATTTGCTTAGCATCCACGAACAGAGGAAAGTAATGCTTTTCTGTAGTCAAGGTTCTAATACTCTTTGTTCCATCTGTCTGTAAGTGAGTTTCAGTGGTTGCAGCCGTAGAGGAATCATAACATCCTATCAGTGGAGAGGTCAGAGGTGAAAGGTCTTACCGTGCCACCACTAGAAATTGGTCTATCTGTTTGCTGGAGAGCGGACACTCTGGATACCACAGCTTCTCTTCCAGCTTGGACTGGTCCCTGTCATCGGCCTCTCCTGCAGGATACACAGAGGCAACAGCTGACAGACAGCACGGCAGCTTGATCACAGGCCGAAGGTGACGAAACGGGATAATAATTTGAATATTTGCAAGACTTTGCTGGTAGAACTACTTCTTCCCGCTGCAACCGTTTGAGACCAATCACACACACTAAACAAATAAGCCTGTTGGTGTGACTGAATAAATCCCGCATTCTGACTGACCCTCTTGTAGCATTTCAGGTACGTCTGCCTGAAAGCGCGGCCCCACTCTGATCTCTCCTTTGTCGGCCAGCAGGGTCTTCTGTGTGGGGTCGTACACCAGCGAGTAGAAGAACGTGTCCTGAAGAGAATGACAAAACAATCAGTCTCTGCAGTTAAAGGCACAGGCTTTTACACTGGCTCTAATGTCAAACATTTGTATTATACATTTGGACTTTAAATTTAATTATTTTGGAAATTCCGTGGTGGGAAATGAAGGACGAAAGAAAGAAGAAATTCTGCAGCTAACCTGTAAATCTGAGCTGTAAATCTTTACTGTAATCTATGCAAAACGAGTTAAGTTACAAACATCTATTTCCTGATCCTTTGAATTGTGTGTTTTTAATGGAAATAATAAGTAAAACAATAACATTAAGATTCTTTGACAGTTTTCACAAACTTCAGGACGGACGGTTGCAACTATTTTTCGGGGAGTTGAAGAAAGTTAGTCTGGAGCCTTTCTGTCAGTTATTGTTGTCAGAAAGAAAATCTTAATCTGCAAAACTCTGAATCGGTAGGTCAGACTTTAAATAATCCACGCTAAAGATGTACAGACGACGAAAATGAAAACTTTATATTTGAAGTGTGCAGCTGTATTACCTCGGGAAATATAAGTATCGCATTCGGTAAAGGACTCAGATCAAAAATACTTAATTGGGACTTCTCTAGTCTTGAGGTGTTGGTTGGACAAAACAAGTTATCCGACACCATCCTGGGAGTTAAACGATAAATCAAGAAAAGAATCAGCTGACTAAACCAATTAAAGTTCTTGGTAGTTGCAGCCATTGACTTTCGCTCAATTTTTACGGGAAAAAAAAATAAATATATTGACTCAACCTGCTATGACACAACAAGCAAAAACCAGTAAGAGGTGACAAATCAAGTTGTTTTCTCTGGCTCACCTCTTTGTCAAGGTATGAAAGAACGGCTTCAGTCTCATTTAATAATGCGACACTGCACTTCCCCCTAATAGGAAAAAAAAGAGAGAGAGAGAGAGGGGGGGGGGGGGGAGAGAACAAGCACTTTGTAAAACACACACAGGAAGGGAGCAGCACTTGATTTGTCTGTTCATGGCTGGATGAGTGACTATCCATGGGCACTGCCTGCAGATGAGACGTGGGGTGTGAGTGTGTGTGTGTGTGTGTGAGTGGGTGTTTTTGTACAGTACCTGATGTGTGTCGCAGGCAGACTCTCATACTGCCGGGAGAGGAAGAGCTCTCTGTGGCGAAGCTGGTGTTTCTGTTTGTCTGTGAGGTCTGTCTCTATCGGGCTCTCCTTCTCTTCTTCCAACTCCTCTGCAGAAAGGCACACGAGAGAAAATTACACCACAAAAGACATCGGAAGAGACACAGATGTTTAAAATGAATATCCGCGTGTCACAGAGGCAGGTTGAAGACACACGACACACATAACAGGACAGTGGCTTGCTCGTGACAGATAATCAAAGTCACATATGGTTTCAGCCAAATTAATCCATTTATCTCTGCGATTTCATAAAATACCACTTGATGATGTTTCATAACTGTGCTGTCTTCAGATGTAATACAATAGGCTGGTAACGTGGCTCTCCGGGGCTTTGCAATCACAAACTAATGCTGCTATCCATTAAAGACAGCCAAGCTATTATGCGCAGGAATACTATGAGATATTCAACGTTAAGCATGCAGTGCTCATTCATAAATACTGGATTAGCTGCAGTCGAGTCGACACATAATCACATGCAGCGGACACACATTTTAAGTCCGCTTTATAAAAAGCAGTTGTTTTCACTCTCTAATGCTGGCACTAGTGCAGCTTCACAGCCCAGTTGGAAAATCCTACAGAGCCCCAGATTTCCCCATCTCCACTGTCCCGATGTCATGCGTTAAGCTGCCAGTGAGCTGTTTCAGATGTGTCTGTTTGATGGGTGAATAACTTTCTGTTTGCGGGCTCTCTCCCCATAAACAGCTGCGTTTTGGAGTCTCCAGGCATTACATACCGCCTTCATCAGCTGAGCCCTCCGCTCGGCCCTTTGGCCCGAGGCCGCATTGGTTGCATCGGTGAACGCTTTGGAATCCGGAGGGGTTTAAAAAACAAATGAATAATTGAAAACCGAGGACCTACCCTCCCCAGCCCTAGTAGTTTATGAAAAACAACATTCACACCCACTTTGCGCTGTGATTGGCCAGCTGTGCAGAGGTGAGAAAGGAGCCAACTTCTCTCTCGCTCTCTCTCTAGCTCTCTTTTTAAATTTTTGACACGTACAATTAGATGTGAATAACACAATGAATGTCTTCCGGGAAAAGAAAAAGTGAATTAACTTGCATATATATATATATATATATTTATAGCACTTTTCTAGTCTTCTGACCATGCAAAGCATTTTACATTATATGTCAACATTAACCTATTCACACACACACACACACACACACACCGATGGCACATGTGGCCAATCGTCGGTTTGGCCACAAAAAAGTATCCCCCAGTTCCAAAAATAGATAGTGAAAGAAGGGATTTCAGTCTGTACAGCCCTCTGACAAGCACTTCAGTGAAAGCATACTGACCCGTCACTCAACTGAACACCGTCTCCGATTGGTTCAAAGTCTCTCTATGTTCAGATTCTAATGCAACACAGTCTCTCTGTTTCCTACATTATGCTGCTGTTCTCACTTGTATCCAACAGATAGCAGACTTGCTGTTTTCTTACCTGCTCTCCTTCTAGATACTAGAGCTTAATGGCTTCATTAAGACACAGCTAATGCAAACACAAAGTGTTTTTTCTGCTGCTGCTGCTTCAGATTGAAAGCTTTTCACTAGAAAACCACTGGACGGCAACTACAGCAACTCTTGTCTCGCCGAGGTTAGCGACTGGGTGCTAATAAATCACAGCAACACATGGACACTTGTGAACGGAAAAAGATGTTTTCAAATCAAAGTTTTGTATGCGTTTGTTTCAGTACTACTGTGTTGGAAAGGCAGCAGCAATCTCACGGGCAGAAACCTTAAATCTTGGAAAATAAAACCAAAACTATTAGATTGGCTTCATACCGATGAGGGTAGATTGGGAAAATGTCTAATTTGAAAATAAACGGGCCCGTTAGCTCTAATGTGGAACTTGTGTTGGGCTCTCTGCTGTTCTTTCATCTTTGGCTGCAATGATTAATCAGCATCATAGACCAAACAAAGAGCAGGGCTTCAGAATAACTCCACTAACAGCTCTGTTGCACCCTTCCGAAATTTAGAAACAAACATTTAGAACAACAGGCTGATATTTTTGTATCTTGTAGATTTTTTTCATCTCAGGTTTCCCTCCTACAAACTGCACATTCAGCTGTATTTCTGTAAATCAGATTCACCGCTTGTGCTTCTGTTTACGTCCTGAACGGAGCTGATCCATGAATCAAGTGTATTTTATTTCTTTACAGTGGTAGGTGGCAGGCCGCACTAAATCCTATTGTTGTTTCTGTCTCTTGTACTGAGCAGCTGGTAGAGGACTGACTCCAAATAGGTTGTGGAATTGGCACTGTGCTGCTATGACTGCATATGTCCCTCCATACTGTATGCTTTATGTTTTTGCAGAAAGACCATAATGACATTTTCCCTGAGAGTCGGACTGGTTCAAAGATTCATTTTCAGCTAATGATGCCAACAATTCACCAATTCTCACTTCTCAAATGTAAAGATTTGCAGTTTGTTTAATAATGTTCCGAGTACATTTGAGCAGAGCTGCAACAAATAATTATCTTTCGTTAATCTGCAGATTATTTTCTCAATTGGTCGATTAAACAACGATATTCTATTTACAGTGATAGAAAACAGAAGATTTGCACTTCTGTGAAGCTAAAACCAGAAAATGACTTAAAAGAAATAATTGATGATCCACATTGTTGCCAAAAAAATCTGTTGATCAACTACAGTATATTAAAATACAGATTTTGAAGAAGTGTATTTTCTTCTTCTTCTACCACTGCACAGACCAACATTCCCAGTGAGATAAAGGGTGAAAAGTAAAGCAACGCAGGATCTGCAGGTAATGAGCCGCTGTCTGCCCACAGCGGACGACATGCTCGACTCATTATTGCAGAGGCCTAAAGCTTTGCCCCTGTGGCTGCACAGAGATCTGTGTGCTTGTTCATTCAAAGTTTATTAATAATGAACCTGTCCAAATTGCACCAAATTGGATAAAGCACTCCTCTGGGGTCCAAGTGCACGCGCCCAGTGTGAAGTAAATCGGATGAGATTCGAGATCTCGAGATTCCTTGCTTAACAGTTAGATATATTCAGGGAGTGCAGTTAGTGACAGTGTGGGCTTCATGGAAGCTCTGAAAGCTTGACGGAGTGGCAGCAGGGGGCGGGGCTTAGCGATCAATTGCTTGAAAGCAAATTTAATTTCCATGTGGCATCTGAACAAATAGTTGTCTTGGTGTGTGTGTGTGTGTGTGAGAGAGACAGGAGTTACTACTCACTTGCATGTTTGTCTGCGAGCTGGATGAGGCTGTGGGAGATGTCTCTCCTTCTGTAGAAACAAACCACCTTGGCCTCCACATTCCCGCTGGCCGTCTGAAACAGAGAGAGGTCGAGGGATCAAGGTTGACTGTAAGCGTCGGCAACACCTCGCGATACACAAACCTCTGATTTCCCAGGAGCCCCGGCTCCTTTGTGTGCTCATCAAGCTCTGCTGTTGTGACAGGCTGACCAGGGCGGCAACAGCGCTTTTTAAAAGATGATTGATTGATCGTCTCAACGGATAATTAGGCCGACGGGGCTTAAAGACTCAGCCGGTATTAAATTCTGTGACTGATGGAAAGTGAATGGATGTGGGGCTATGAGGTTTGAGAGAACTGCTTCCAACTTGCAAAATAAAAAACATCGGCTACGGTCAAGAAAATCTTCATCACGTTGAACCAACCATTCTCTTTCAGCCTCAACAAAGGAAAAGAACATTATAAGCTCCACACAGGCAGTATCTGTTGCAGGACCGCTGTGTTACATTGCATCATGCTGCAGGGTGATCCTGTTATTTTGTCCACCCCTATTTATCACTTATGATAACAGCACTGTCTCCTGTCTTTATATTGTAATACAGAGCCTCAATAAGTTTCATACGGATATCTTCCCGCCCACACAGTCTGATAATTGCATTTATCTGAGTTTCTTCATGCAAATGCAGGAAAAGCTTTTCTGACTCGCTTGTTCAAGATGCTCGTGTAGTATTTAAACAAAAGTTAGCTTTGGTTCTGTTGTTAACATATGTGACACATAATTTAATCAAATTTGATTAAACATTGGCAGAAATAAACCCATCAGACCATGTTGCTTTTAGAAGCTGGTGCGAGTCAATATTTAGTCTAAAGCTGAGCTGAAATGTTCACAATAATCTCCCCTTATTACACTCTCGTAGGTGCGTCCTGTGATGTCAAACTGCAGTTAGGAGACGGGGACACACCGGTCAGGCTCCATCATATTACAAACTAGGGAGTCCCATAATGCTCCCAAACACACCTTGCAAAGTGGGGGGTAGGGATAGAAACAGCAAGGAATCCTAGCTATTCACCCTCAGGCATAAAACAACATAAAAAACTAAACACACACAAAATTGACACACAAATACTTCCGTACCTTGTTGAGTTCTTCTATCCGCCGGATCAGGTAAGGGTTACTGGACGAGTTCTCAAAGAATACATAATCTGCAACAGAAAACACACGATGCATGAGATCATTGTGACGATGGATTATCCTCTGCGGAGATAATACACTCAGCGGCCACTTCATTAGGTACACCTGTAAAGTCAAATGCACTTATAACAGATCACGTTTTGAAAGATAAAAATATTCAGTTTTGATTGACACTGTCCACGAGGTATTCGTTTAACATACATGAGGGCGGAAGAATATTAGAAACACGTGAATTAATGCCTCTCTGACAGTGTTAAACCTCAACATTATCGTCCTATTAAATGTAGAATTTGTGGCAGATCTGTTGCATTGAATTGCATTAAATTGTATAGGTGTAATAATAAAGTCGCCAGGGAGTGAGCGTCCATCTACACATGTGTATTGCAACCACTACCCCAATTCCCAGCTGACTATAATGTAAGCCGAGGAACAGGAAACTGGCTGTGTGACACACTGCAGTGTTTTCCTATTTCCAGTACACCATTGAGCAACTAACAGTTCACTGTTATATCAAGAGGAAGAGGTTAGAAAACAGACGTGATGACCATTAATAAACTGGGTATTTGTTATGAGCATGCACCACAAAGAATATAGATTCCAAGTTAAACGGGTCAAGGCAAACGCAAATACATGTACACTGCAAGGTCTTCACGTCCGGACAGAGAGTCACCACAGTTATGATTTTGTAAGATAAATACGTTGAGGACGAGGATATATTTAAGTCTTAAATAATGAATTCCCACTGCTCATCGACAAAATCAGCATAGACATGAGTTATCCTATTCAGCTCTACCTGAGTAGGATATACAGTAACTTTGGAAAAGTTCAGTCCATGGCAAATGCTGCCTTCAAGTGCTGTCTGAAATATTGTAATTTCTACGCACAAGGAAAATACACGTCAGTCAAGCGGTAAATATTTCAGACTTGTCAAGGTTTGACATTTAGTAAGTGCATATAAATACTTTGTCAAACTCTGGATTCAAAATGTAATCATCCCCAGAGGGGATAATAAATTGCAGCCCTGACATACATTCTTCCCTTTATTGAGTTGCACTTAGTAGGACTAAGCTATATGTATGAAGAAACCACATTTACAAAAGACATATTTTAAAAACAGATCTGTTATTATTTCATGAAAGACACAAACACCAAAGCACCAACAATGTGTAAGTTCTAGGAGTTGCAGTTTCCAAATAGCACTTGAAGGCAGCAGGAGAACTGCAGCTAAGGTGACCATATGGTCAACAAACTGATACAGTAGCGACACTGATGTTAAACTATTGAGAAACGTATCACCTGTGCAGAGATGCTCAGTGTTTATGCGACATGTCAAGCGCTACATTAAAGCTTCATCACAATGTGGCTGTAGACTGGAAGTACGTGTGAATAAAAAGATGTAAGATTAAATCAAACCCGACGCAACGACGCCATGAATCGAGACAATAATTTGATGCTGAATTCCAGCACACTGCTAACCAGCTAGCTTAGCAGGTGAAGTCATTTCGCTAAATAGCGGTGCTTGTTGTGAATATAGGTGGACAGTGGGCCGATGTCTAATGTTACCAACGAGTGTTAGATGCATTCCTCATCATGTAAAAAAACGAGCCGCAACAATGCTAATCAGTGGAGCCATTACTGGTGCTAACGTTAGCTAAATAAGGACTCGCACTAATGGCTGCATGCCAGAAGAGGCAATACAAAGGCAGCTTGAGACTGCCCGTGGTAACATTTTAACCCGTTTTAAACACATGTCTAGTCGAGAAGTCTCGCGACGTGTCCGTTACCCGTGTCCCCGGTCTATACGTCCAAAAACCAAAGAACAAAAGGTGCCGACAATTGAAATGTGTTTACATTGTGAGCTAGCCATTTAGCAAGCTGGCGGCTAGCTGCTGTGGCCACGACAGACGCGAGGCCTGACCCATTTTGAATCCCAAATATTTAGAAATTATCACCTTCCTGGTGCAACTTAATGCATCTGTGTGCGTGTCGCACAGCCGCATCTCACTATTTAGACGCAAACAAACTACAATTGCGTGACATAATCCCCAGGGGATGCGAAAACTGGAAGGATTTCAGTTTGATAAAAAGATCCACATTGACATACATACCTCCGACCCGGTACATGTTGGCCGCCATTTCTGCCCTCCCGGAGTGTTAACGTAAACCATAAACTAAGAGAAATAGAATAAATTAATAAAAACAATAAAACTCGGTCCCTTAAAAGGTAAAAGGTGCGATGAATTATGATCGTCGAGACTCCGGATGTGTACCCAAGCGGGAGATTTTTTGGCAAATCGACCCCCCCTCCCCTCCTCCTCTAGGATTCACAGTACCCTTTACAATACAGTGAACTCACGGCAGCCAAAAGAAGTCCGATCAACCCGAAAAACCACTGACTGGTGACGTTGAGGAGAGGGCCGCGCACGCGCACCCACATACACAGACACACACCATGACACACACTGTTGACACACTGGGAGAAGTCATTATGTTCTTAGCAACTTATCATAATATTTCGTGTTCTTTATTGTCATGTGCAAAATACAGTGAAGCAGTCGTGATGAAAACAAATGTTGGTTATCGGGCTCCTTCCAACAGTGCTAATAAAGTAAATAATAAAATTAAAAAACACGTCAAGTCAAAATCTAATTAGAATGTACAAAACCCTTAAAGCCCTTAAAGACTTAAAAGAAGGATTTTGTTCATGTTTTTGAAGGTGTTGAATATGGCAGGCTAATGGGAATAATCTTTAAGAATCTCACCCATGCAATTATTTGTTCTATTTTATGTCGACAGCCTCGACTTTGGAGACAAATGTGTATGAAATTACGCTCTGTTTTTCTGCACGAGTTTTTTTCTCGTTTAGTGCGTGCGTACGTGCGCGCGCGCATGTGACATCATTCATGATGTGGCTCGCCCTGGCTGTGGAGGAGAGACTCTTCCACAGGCTACAGAGAGAGAAGAGGAGTGAGGGACAGAGGGTAGTTTTCACCAGCTCCACGAACCACGCCCCGGGGGACAGGGGGAGACGGTGGTCTCCAAGTGTCCAAACTCTTGTGATGGAAGGGACCGTAGACTGCGAAGATGAGTTTTAGTTAGGTCACAGATTGGCAAGATGAAGTTCGGGAAGAGCATCTGCGTACTCAACGTAGGGGGAACCCGTTACGCCTTCACCCGTGAGGTGATTAGGGATTTCCCTCTCCGGCGCGTCAGCCGTCTGCATGCTTGCGCAACGGAGAAAGAGGTTCTTGAACTGTGCGATGACTACGACAAGGACCTGAATGAGTTTTTCTTTGACCGCCACGCGCAGGCTTTTGTGTTCATCATGCTGTACGTGCGCTCCGGTAAACTCCGCTTTGTGCCCGGAGTGTGTGAGCTGTCCTTCTACACAGAGATGCTCTACTGGGGACTGGAGAGCGCGCACTTGGACTCCTGCTGCCAGAAACGCCTGGACGACAGGATGTCCGAGATCGGACTGGACACTCTGTCCGAGATGGACGTCGGAGTGTCGGGGGATGAGTCCCAGAGCTCTGGCGAGCCGGTGCAACGGATTGCGCTCACCGGTCGCGCAAAATGGCTAGAGAAGATGCGCAAGACATTCGAGGAGCCCAATTCTTCGCTTTTGGCTCAGCTCTTGGCCTTAATTTCTGTAATATTTGTGCTCATTTCAATGATAATGATGTGTGCGAGCACCCTGCCGGACTGGGATACAGCCAAGAGAAATATTGTGGAGGAGCAAAGGTAGGCAAAAGTCAGGGGTCAGTTAAGTTTAGAGGAATAAAAGGGGGGCCCCTCATGAGGATACGGCGAAATGCTTAGGCGTAATATGTATCAGGCTGTGCTCAAAAACCTGGTGCGTAAAAGTCAATGGTGACTTCATGCCATGAGCTCAACAGGCTAGAATATAAAAATGATGTGTTTCTGTTACGATAAAGTCTCTGTAAATAAATAGATAAACACATTTACAGTCTCACACTTGAGATTATAAGAGCCCGCAAGCGTTCAACGCAGCGGTCAAACTCATTGCGCACTAGCCATTATTACCCAGAAGCATGGATGCATTGCTCTTTGAGTCCTATGATGTTATACAATTTAAGAGTAAGAATATATTATATTTAAACCATGAGAGAAAACAATCAGGCACTTCCTGTGTAATAAATTGATACCTCGTAGGTCAATACAGCACAATGACAAGTTTCAGGCACCACATTTAACATTAGGAGCCTCACATGTCAGCTCACAGGGAAGCCAATCAACAAACAATCCATATTATCTATAAAAAGTGTATTGTAATTTATTACACAGGACACTTTATTGTCTTATTCCCCTCCTCTTCACAATTAATTTGAATATCTTTATTGGCTTGGTAAGTGTACACTGCACGGTACACATGGAGGACAAACATCAGATGAATGACAGATAGGCTACATCATATTCCAGTGGGTAATGAGTTGAAAGTAGAAAGTGTACTGAGGGATTATATATTAGGGTAAGCAAACAAAACGGAATTAATCCACTTTCAGGAATCACCTTCTGTTTTAGTTAAGCTTCTGGGCAGTTATTTTGGCTTCACTTCATGGATGCAAAGTGAAAAGTGCACCTCTCTTTCATCATTATTTTTGCACAGCTTGTCCTCTTCAGTACGCCCGAGGCAGCCTTTCTCTATATAAGGCTGGGTTATGTTCACTCAGGCAGGACATAGTTTTGGATCGGTCACCGTGGTTAGGTAATCACTAAAAGTGTACTTTATTGTCAGGGTCAAAATGATTTAGTTTCATGCCAGTAGATGATGCAATTAACTCAGTGGCGCTATCATTTGATTTTGTCTAATTGTGCCGATGTAGTTATCCTTAGGCTCTGTGCTATTTCATTGGCCTGACTGCTTCTATCTCAAATACAAGCACCACCTCACTTTAATTTGGTTTGATTGCCTCTGCTCTGCTAATCAATGGGGTAATTGTGTGCCTGCTTGTGTCACACAGTCTCTCTTTGAGGGCATTGCATCCCTCCCTCTGTGCTGTTTCTCTGCAATCTTCCATTTTTATCCTCCTCTCTTTGTTTACTTGTGTCAACCCTGAATTGCGTCAGCTGTCTTGTATTCGTCCCTGATTCGCTTCCTTCTTCCTCATATTAACTGATTTCCAAACAGTGTCATATCATCCATATCTCTCTGTTGCTGCTCTCCCATTTCCTGTTTACAGTTCAGTAAACGACCCAGGTCAGTTTGGCTCATTTTTCTCATCTTCTCTCCGCAGGATAGTGGAAGCCGTGTGTATTGGCTGGTTTACAGCAGAGTGCACTTTGCGCTTTCTGGTTGCCAGAAGCAAGTGGGACTTCATCCGGCGGCCGCTGAACATCATCGATGTGATTGCCATCACCCCTTACTATGTCACCATGGCGCTGGCCCGGGCAGGGATGCCAGGTGCCGGGCTCGGGGTTGCTGGGGTGATACTGCGGGTGCTGAGGATGATGCGCGTGTTCTGGCTCATGAAGCTGGCCAGACACTTCTTGGGCCTGCAGACACTGGGGCTCACGCTCACGCGCTGCTACCGGGAGATGGTCATGCTGATGGTGTTTGTCTTCGTCGCGATGGCAATATACAGCGCTCTGGCCCAGCTGCTGGAGCACGGGCTGAACTTGGAAGCGCAGAACCCGGATTACGCCAGCATCCCAGCAGCCGCCTGGTGGGTCATCATTTCAATGACGACGGTGGGGTACGGGGACGTGTACCCCGTGACAATTGGGGGACGGGTGCTTGGGGGAATGTGCGTCGTGAGCGGCATTGTTCTCTTGGCACTGCCCATCACATTCATCTACCACAGTTTTGTACAGTGCTACCATGAACTCAAACTCCGCTCTGCCAGATGCACACGCAGCCTGGCAATGGAGTTACTGCAATGAGCATGCATTCATACCAAAACACATGTGGCCCTGCATACATCAGAAAGAAACTCAACCAACCAGTGGACCTGTTGATCCCATTGTCAAATATCGATCTACTTTGTGCCCGACGCTGTTTCCTGCCTGAGCTGCACCTGATTTTAATTGGCCTGTCTAGTTCCTTCCTGTTGTGTTGATGATCTCCAATCATTGTCTTCGACCAGCATGCTCTGCGCCGTCTTCTCCCCAACAACACCGCTTGGACTGAAGAATAGGATTAAATAATGATTTATTAAACACACACAGGCACAGTCAATTTAGTTTTGACAGCGGCTGCTGTTGACACTGTATTCCCATGGCTACAACATTGGCAGAGACTGCTGCTTTTTTGTATGCTGCATCCAGCGCTGTGTGTGTGTGTCTGTGTGTTTGTTTGTCTGGACATCACTTTTGTCTAAGCTTTGCATCCAGATGGTACAAGTTACACAAGATTGATGTGTGACCTGGATGCATTCTGTTAAACCATGTGAAATATAGACAGATAGTGAACAAGTGAGTGTGAAATGGGGATGCAGAGGTGCTACACAGAGGGCTTTGTGTGTAGGAGGGGCTTAAGCCAGGGATAATGAAATATAGAGACATGTCAGGAGCAAAGACTAGAAGGTGACAGACAAACAAAGGTCTGACAGATATGACAGCGCAGATGGAGCGTGAAATGGTGGATAAAAGATTCCTGGGACAAAAATGACAAAGAGACAACAGAATGTGGAGCAACCGCGAGCACAAAGAATGAATAGACGGTGAGTGTGTTGCGTCTCCATTTGCGAGTGAGTGTAAGGCATTTAATATTACTGTGTCTCCAAGGCAACCTCCATTCTCCAACATGTCAATCATAATAGTGGTTGATTTTGTTGTGTGCACAAAAATAGGCCACATCCACGCACACGACTCCTGGCTTGCGTTTTTGCTTTTGCAATTGTTGGGAAAATAACATCACAGGATTTGTTGAATTACAAAATGTAGAAGAGAAAAAGAACAAGAGCGGAAAAAAAAATGAACATGATGGTTCTGACATTGATGATTCAGACATGTTTCCACTGCTCGTGGTTTGCCAAGATGATGTGATTCGTTAGACACATGATCCAAACAAACAAGTCAACACCTCTCCCACACAACAGTCTTTCTCTGCATCTCCTCTCCTGTTGCCATCAACCATCCTCTTTTTAAACACACACACATGCACACACACAAGCTCTCACGCTCCTCTTTTGTAAACTTTGCAGCCTTGTATGAGTTCAGTGTTTATTGTACACAGAACATATTTCACTGTTGTTCTTGTTGTGTTATCAGTGTGCTTTTTAAGTAGTCACAAAAATGAGCGATAATCAGTATTTTACCACCTTGCCCTACAGCACAGTTTTCCAACGTATGTGGCATAGCTTATAGCGCAGTGAATTTTGGCTGGGCCTGATTGAAACCATCAGTCAAAACTTTTTCATCAGTAGACTACAAACTTGTGATTAATGTTATTCATGTATGAGCTTTTACAATAAAATGTCTCAGAGAAAATTGTCTTTGAATGTGTAATTGCTTATTTCTAATCAAACTGTATCATAAAAATGGTAAAATATAAGTGTTATCAGACTCCATCATCTGCTTCCACTTATTCATTTCCTCAAATAACCTTCTTAATTAACTGAGCTATAATGCCACACAGTCTGGCCCAGAGAGGTGATTCATGAATAAGGCATTTTTGGCAGATGGAGCTTGATAATTCAAAAGTCTTGATGTGATGACATACTACACCTCTGGCCTCCTGCAGGCAGTGGAACATAACATTCAATGTGAGGAACACCTGAGCCCGTTGGCGAGGACATTCAGTGCGCTCATCAGATTTACACGGGGGGGGGGGGGGGGGGGGATTGTGCCGCGGTCTAGTTCACAAAGTATTGTTGTAAGGGTACATTGGCTTAATCACAAACTGCTGTCGCTCTGTTCTTAGGGTTCACACTTGCCAAGCATGTTGGACATCGCTCAAAAGGCTTGTGTTTCACTTATCTCAACAGCTCATTCAGTAAGCTAGCTATATGCACCTGATGTAAATAAAAATTGAACCGTGGGTGACAAATTAAAGGGAACATTAAGTGTGTTATAATAAGGTGTTTCTCCACCATAACCTATCAGAAAAGCTTCAGCGCTCCTTTACTCCAAGTCCCTCAGTTGGTGTTTTGATGATTGTTATGGAGTGACCTGTCTAACACGTCGCTCCAAATCCCCTCATCCTTTGGGGAACAGGAATAACTGTACCTAATGTAATATAAATCCACCTAATAGTTGTTGAAACATTTTACCAAAAAAAGCAAAAATTTCAACCTAATAGTGCGCTAGAGGAAAAGTCAGGGGATCACCAAATCAGTAGGATTTATCATCTGGGGATCATGAATATTTGTACTTAATGTCATGGCAATCTATCCAATAGTTTTTGAGATATTTCAGTCTGAACAAAAGAGGTGAGCTGACGTTCATTCAGTCTCCGAGGGCGTTCTGAACTTACATTTGAAAAATCTTTTCTTAAAAAGCTCTTTACATAACAGAACATGCAGTGAATACAAGTGAACTTAGCCTGAGGGGAGAGAGACAGAAAAAATATCTCATGTGGACAAAGATGGCTGCAACACAATGTGTTTTCATGGCTGTCATGAGAATGAGAAAGAGCATAATTGTATAGATTAATTTAATATAATCTTTAATATAATGTGAAATGTTTTGATTTATGCAGATGGTCTGATAGTCTCACTTTTCTGCAAGACAAAAATGCATTTGTTTTACTGTAATAAATACTTAAAACCAAATATCTTGTTTTTAGAATTAAGTTTTTTTTAGCTACAATGCATTCATCAAGGGTGTAAGTTCCAATTAAAGAGATGGTGGGGCTTTCCAAAATGCTTTTTTTGTTTTTTATCATGGCTGCTCTTATCTCCTGATTGATGGAGATTTTTGAGGCTACATGCAGCCTGAGAGGATGCTATTTCCACTGCATTTGTTTTCTTAGGAATGACCCTTGAATCAAACCCTAATTTACACCTGACAATGTGTGATTATAATATTCTCCGAAAAAGATACAAGAGTTTTTCTAAAATCAAAGACAATACGGTGCTCCATAATCACTTGATCATTATCTGTCATTATCTATCTACATTAAGTAGTAGGTCTCTATCAAATCAAGTCATACTCGTTAATAACAAGTATGACTTGATTTGATAGAGACCTACTATATATAAGTCCACTAACAACACTTGTTTTGGGTTGAAAAACCCATGATTTCAATGCATCCCCCCACTTCTGAAACCCAAACCTACATCCTCAAAATGTAACTATTTCTTATGACAGATTCACAATGCCAATACACATAAATCACAGCTTCTGAATCATCACTGCAGAAAGTATAGCAGTGGTGGAAGAAGTACTCAAAAGTAAAAGCAGCAGCCATACTAAAGTGTAAACATCCCTGTTACAAGTAAAAGTCCTGCATTCAGAGTATAACATAGGGAGGCAATTAGCATCAAAATATACTGAAAAGAAGGCTTCCCCCTATGCAGAATGGCCCATTTAATAATCAAATATATTGTATTAACCTACTGTATTATAATCATTATGCATTAATACATCACTTTAATGCTTGAGCTGGTAACGTTAGGGCCAATTGTAAATACTTGATAGAATACAGGCTACTGCAGGGTAGCAATGTATTAACTTATTAAAATGTGTATCAATTATCACTGTGTGAAGTAATTCACTTTAGTAAGTGAAGCTGTCAAATAAATATACTGGAGTAGTAGTACAATATGTATGTATTAGAATATTTTCCACTTATATAGCGTAACACCAACGTGTTGTTAAGTACAGTAGTTTAGTAAAAGTACTTAGTTAAATGTGGTTTATATAGGAGTATTTTTAGTGTATCGCCTCCAGCGCGCCCCTTGAATTTTAAACAGGCAGCATCGAGCCAGCTGACTGTGTCGTCACTTTCCCTCGACGGTCGCAACAGGAAGACCTTTTTACCGTGTGATTTGTGTTGTGGACGAAAACTTTTTCCCGTCCTTCAGCAGGAAAATGTACTACAAATTCAGCGGTGTTACCCAGAAACTGACGGGGTCTGCTCCCGCGGCCGCCTACAACCCTCAGGTGAGACAGAGAAGCAGCGTATTAGTGAGAGACCGAGTCGGTAACCGTCGAGGATGACCTTCATACTTCCTGTCTTATTACACGGCAGTTAGCTCTTAACGTTATCTGAAATTTAATTAAGAGGGTGTTATGTGTTAAGACACCTGTACGTTGTAAAACAAACTATTAAGACGCAGTGCCATTTTCAGAAAATGTCAATCCTTTTATTTTATTTTCATACCTTATTGCAGAACCTTTATTTTGAAAGGTTATGTGGATCCGGCCTTTACAGCCAATTTGAATGGCCGCTCAAAGCATTTGCCAGATGTGACCTTTATTATCACTTCTCTGTTCTTTACACAGCCTCCTTGTTCTTCTGTGGTTGTGAATTAAGCTGCATTCAAGCTCTCCTGTGTCACAGTTTGAAAGTCACATTCTCCAACATTTAAGTTGTTTTGGTTAGAAGAAAAAAAGAGCCTGTGACATAAATATTGTCATTAGAATGGAACTAAAGTGCAGAATTATTTTTTTCAATCTCCTTTCCATTTGACTTATTATCGCTTTGGCATCTTGCACAACACAGCACATTCCCCATGAGATGCAACAACGACTCAAAGGTGGTTTAATGCTTAGAGATGATCTCCTGCTGTGAACACTTTTACGTATAAGCTTTCTCTTAAAACCGACCTTTCAGTGCCTCTCTGCATTTTCATATGTCAAATTTAATTTCCCCGCTGTTCCCTGTCTGCCTACACACACTCTTACAAGACAATTGGGTCTCCCGGTCATTTTCAAACCCAAGGTGGGTGAGAAGCTTCCTCCAAATGACGTAAAGGATGATTTCTCGTGACTCATACAGCTTCGGTACTGATCGAACCATCTAGAATTTTAAGATTTCTTGGTGGAAAATGATCACGGCCGATGAAGTGTGTAAAAAGGCCAAAAGAATATTGCTTTATCGTTTACTGATGTAAAGCCTACAGCCCCTAAATGCTTAAAATAGGTTAAATTAAGAGGGAAAATTCCATGTATGCATGTAACGATTAGAATAAAGTGTTGTATTGTTGTTAAGTTTAGGCAGCAGCATTGAGCTTTATGGACTTTTTTATACTTGCATGAATTCCCTTTGACTTGTATGGGTCTTTTATGTGATTTATTACTGTCAAATAATCCTAAACCTCAACAAAGTCTGAACACAAATACATTTTTAGATTCAGTTTGGCTTCCACTTTCCAAGGATCTAATTATTTCCTAATGCCAGCTGCGGATAAATGCCCATAAATCTGCTTAAAAATTACAAAAAAAGGTGCTTTTCACACGTGTGCTAATGACGTTGAATAGATGCGTTATTGTGTTTTTTTTGTGGTTTAGGGGCTTAGGCCAAGTGTGCCGGCAGAGTCCCCCACCATGGTGTTTGCCACACCCACCAAGCTGGTGTCAGAGGCGGGGTCCACGGTGGAGTACTTGGGAACAAACAGGGTTCCGGACCTCCAGAGGCTATTCCAGGTAACATCCACACTTATGCATATCCAACATTACAGACTGAAATAGAACTCTGACCAACACGTCCTCAGAGTGAAGGTTCATGAGCAGCTAAAGTGGTCACACTTCATCAGTCAAAGCCTTGGAGGTTTTTTTTTTTTTAGCTTCAGGCGGTGGCTGGTGTTTATTTCACTCTGTTCTTAATGGCGCCTTCCTTCAGTATTCATCACAGGAGAGGAACATGAGACAGGACATGGAAATCACAGTACTGATGCAATCATCCTTTTCACTATGAAAATGTCTGTGGAGAAAAAGCATACGTCACACAGACGATATTTAAGCTAGTGTGTTATGAAGCAAAGGAAAAAGAGATAAATAGTTAAAGGAAAATGGTGCTCTGACCCAAATACAAAATGTTTAGGCCTATATGAAACAGAAAATTGCCGAGGATACTGTTCATCACATCTTCATTATTGTATTATTTCATATTGTCCTTTATTTCTCCTGCTCCAACTCTCCCTTGCCTCCCGTTTCGTCTCCTCCCAGACGTCAGACGGTATCCCCATTCATCTAAAGCGCGGTGTCCCCGACAGGCTCCTGTACCGCACCACCATGGCTCTCACTGTAGGGGGCGCTCTCTACTGTCTGGTGGCTCTTTACTTTGCAGCCCAGCCCAACAAAAAGTGACCAACGCAAAACCCACGAACTTTCTGGAATTGACCCAACATTCCCAGCCTCCATCTGCCCTCGCCATGCCACCTCTCGGGACTCAAATGGCTGTTAGGGAAATTAGTTAGGGAACACTCAATGACAACAATAACGTCTGTCTTCTCTGTAAATCAAATGTCTAAGTTAATAAATTCTATGGGGAAACAAAGGTAATACAGGCTTATTTTTCCTTATTTGTCTTCAACATTATGTCAGTGAAAAAACACTAACAGACAGATGCACACGGGCTGCATGTATGAAACTGAACTGGGTAGAGAGCTGTTCTTACAAATGCCGAAGCGGAGGCGTAAAGCTCACGTCCTTCAACAGGTGTGCAGTGATGAGCATGATGGAGACACTCCTTCTGGAACATAGCTGCTGCTCACTTGGCCTAACTACGGTCTCATACAGTATGTGTGTGTGTGGGCTTGGGTATGATGTCAGATGCTTCTGGACGAGTTCGGAGGGGGTTTGTTTCAGACAGACATGTTGGCAGCCCCACATCAAGCTGCTCAAACACTGACGATAATCTCAGTCTCTGCATTTTTCCCTCCTGCGTGTGTATGTTTTCTAGTTTATATTGGGCTCAAAGCCATAATCACCTGTTCTAATGCAGTAAGCTGTTACACCTCGATGTGCACGATGCCTTAGCCACACAAACCATAACGGCCACCTCGCTCTGTTGATCTGGTGTGTATTGTATGTCTCATACGTCTACTTGGCTTCTGTGCGTTTGTATTGATTGAACAGTGAGGTGGAAGGGTCACATGACGCTCGGCGGCTGAACGCTCACAAGAGGTGGCCTCCGCTGATTTGACTGATTGGTGCGGTCCTCACGGAGAGGCCGACCACTTGTAATCATCAAGTAGCACACGCGTAGGTTGCACGAAGTGTGTAGATGTTGCACAAAGCGTGTACATGTTGCGTGGCACACACAAAATGTACAGATTTTACAAAAATAATCAAACTGATCGTTACTAAAATGAACGGATGGTGACGTTGTCAATAAGAATCCACTCTGGACCTCCCTTTGTCATGGCATCAATACTTCACACCCTGAGGAAAACCTTATGATGGATAATTGATGACAACACATGAATAATTTGACCTTCTGCTAGGAAAATAATGAGTATGGTTAATAAATAAAGACCTCATTTGAAGAGTGTCTTACTCCAAAACATCCTACAAAGCAAAGAAGCAGGACACGGTGCAGATACAACGCTTACATGTAGGTATATGTTCCAGCTGTGAGCTAGTTTATAGGTTAAAACACAGCGGTTCCTTACTATCTAGATAGTTAAAGAAATAACGTTTGAGTAATTGCTGAATTAACAGCAGGAGAATAAGCGATACATATTCACAAAGGGGGTTAACCGTGACCTGTTCATTGCTTATTCCGCAACATTCTCTCAGAGTTAACTGCACTTGATTTTTGTGCAACTGTCTGGTTGGCGTTAAATATGAAACAATGTGAAACCGAGACCCGTCTAACACAGTGACTCCCAACCGCATACACAGTTAGATCCTCAAGCTGAGGCTTTTCTTTACTCGTGACCCTCATGTCAGTGAATGAGTGGATAAATGAAGCACTTCAACAAAAGAATGATGTTCCCTTCTGAGGTTGTTTCATTTATATAGTTGTTAGAGGCCAGAAGAGCTGCAGGTATCTAGTATTCCACAATAAAACATACAGGACGTATGTATTTTTTGTTCCCTGTTATAAAAAATAAGATGTCCATGTTCATTAAAATGAGTTTAGACCGTTAGCTAATTAGCACTTAACACGAAGTAGCCTACAGCTGAGGCTGTTGAATGTCATTATTTTTGTGCGTGTTTGAACATACAGCGAAGTATTTGACATTTGACATGAATTACAATATCGGCAAGATGATGGCGCAAGAGGAAATGTCAGAGGATCGCCAACAATGTTTACTGTTCATACCGTGGGGGGAAACGTAATGTTTTTGCAATCCATCAAATGGTTGTTGAGATATTTCAGTGTGGACCTCACTATGTGCTCACATTTACTTGTCATGAGATGCACCTAATATCTTGTTTTGATAATAAACTTCATACCTGCCTTTCATCATGAATATGAAACCTTAAATCCACCCCTCCATCCTTCTTGCATCACGACAACCCACTTCAGTCACAATGGATCCTTTTGTTTTCTCTCCTACCTGACAGGAGAGACCCGATAGCTCTGCAATAACATGTTTACCATTCATAACCCAGCACTCCAACTGTTAATGAGGAGAGGGGACACACACACACACACACAGAGACACACACACACAGGAAACTGGGGGAAAGGGAGAGACAAAACACAGGAAGCAAGTGGTGTGTGAGGAGGGGGTGGATGAGTGTGAGGAGAAGGTTATGTGGCGGATGGGTGTGACATGTCGGGTTAATGCAATCCCTCTTCACAGCCATTCTCAGCAGTACCGGATGAGTATACGATGAAACCTATATTTCCTAAATCCTATATTTTGTCTGCAGTTTGTTCACAAATTTATATTTGACTACAATGTTAGGAGACTGTAAGGTATTAGGCTACTGCACCCAGACAGCAGTGAGAAAATGAGTCTCAGGGACTAGAGTGCCTCTGCATCAAGATGAGAAAATGTCATAAAGTATGTGTAAAAAAGCAGAAAAATTATTTCCTCAAGAGGGGCACGGATGCGAAAACGAAATGTTGAAGAAACCAATGTGATCAGTGCTGAGGCACACTGATCACATTGGTGTATTACTACTTTTTGTCTTTTATTCTAGGAAAATCACTTTCTATTTTGGTTTAGTACTCTGGCTTTTGGGTGGAGTCAGAATGAAAAATTAGTTTGAAAATAGGTATTGTTTTCCAATTTCCAATATAATGTTATGAATAAATAAATACGTTTGTTTTCTCTGTTTTGGGGTTCTCCGTGCACCGTGGAGCAATGCAAAAAAAGGTTTTCTTCACGAATTCATGGTAACACAGTGTGAGTCAGGAGACTGAACCTAACAGTTAATTTGCAAGATGTAAAACCAAGATGGTAGCTAAAGAAGCTGCAGAGCTGGGTGTTGTGTTCCCTGCAGCCTGAGGAATATGTTTGCACGGTTATTTGATTCAATGCTCCCCCGAAAGAATATTGATCATCCAGGTTTAATTTTGGGTGCTACACCACAGAGAGCAGAGGATGCGTCTTAATTCAAAATATATCACTCTGCAGAAACACAACAGCTCTGCCGTGCCTTCAACAACAGCCTTGCAGGAAAGGCTGGGGAGAGAAGAGGGCTGGAGGAGTGACAAATTACCTCTCCTCACAAAGCCCGAGAACAATGAATAAATAAAGTTCTCTGAGATTCAACAGGGAGGGTGTTTTGTGAAGCAGTAGCTTTTTGCGTCGGGAGCGAACGGCCTTCTCCTTGTCTCGCAGATGAAAGCACCTCTCGCAAAGTCGAGCACTCGAACAAAGCAACTCCATACAGATGTCTGTCCTCCCACTAAATCGATTTAGAACAGCCCATATAGAACAAAGAAAACGAATTGCAACAAAAATCACTAGATGTGACATGCCCAGTGTGATGACACACCCCACAGGCTGGCTGGAGATGAAATCAGTGACACCCTTTGCTCTCCGGGGGCCCTCTGGAGAAGGTGTTGGAGAAAAAGACCGGAAAACAAGGATAATGGATGTAACAGTTGGAGGAACAAGGTGTGCTGATTGGTGTCATAAGTGCATGTGGGCTTCTCACTCTCCCCTATATAGGTTTTGAAAATGCATTTTTTTCCCTCTTTTCTCCTTCAGGCTATTTTTCTCTGCCTTTCCCAAGCAACTAACCTTATGTAACAGTTCAAACACAGTGTGAATGGACAGATGCCCCTGACTGTGCAGAACCATGTCCACCAATCCCACTCACACTGCAAATTATATGTTTTCCTGCATGTAATTACGGGAGTGGATTTGTATTACAAACATCTGTCTGCAAACAACATCCCTCATTTACTTCATAGTTTGACACAGCGATGCAGAAAATGCAAGCTTCATTGTGGTTTCCAGGCGAGAATAAGAGATGCGAGCGGCATGAAAGGAGGAAAATTAATGTCCCTAAAATGAAAGTGAATCGATACGGTGGCCTGAGGATGTGAAAAGCTGGAATGAGAAGGAGGGGGAGTTGAAATGGAGTTGGAGCGAGATTAATGGCTGTTTAATAAGGAACAGTATTCATCAGTAGTCAGCTTGCAGGTGAAGAAAGGCTACAGTGTGTGTGTGTGTGTCTGTGTCAGGATGGAAGTACACGCTGCAGCGAGTTTACACTTTGTCTTTAACTTTCCGTCACGACTCTTTCAATAAATGACCACCCAACTATAATACTGATTACTTTGCCCAATGAGAGTGAGGCTTGATTTCTTCTCTTCATTTAAACTCGTTGCGCGCGCGCGCACACACACACACACACACACACACACACACACACACACACACACACACACACACACACACACACACACACACACACACACACACACACACAGTGATGCAACAGCACCACCTACAGGTTCAATCATTTTTGGATTCAATCACTCCAACGACTGATGTTGAGAACATTTCCAACCTTTTAATCAAAAAAAATCCAATAAAGAAGTATTGCTTCATTCATGTCAAAAAAACCTTCAGGAACATATTGAGCCTCCATGCGTACATCTTGCTCATAACCGTCTCGTGTTGTTACAAAGTCCTCTTTTACAGGCAGCAACAGGAGAGAATGCTCCCAATAAATAACCGGTACAAAGTTAAAGGAATACGAGAAATACCCTCGCGGTCACAAACACAGAAACGCACACGTCTGTCCGTCACTTGCACTTGTACGTGAGGTGTTTGCGATGATAGTGGATCCACGCGGGTGCTGCAACAAGGCCGGTCAGGAAGCCGATCGTAGCGCCCAGACTGCAGGAAACAGGCCAAACCTACAAGAAGCAAGAAGAGCGAGTCTGATCGTTGCACTGATAGATCAAGAGGAGCTGAGCTATTAGAAAACGTCATCCTTTTTTCCCTATAAGCATGTTTCCACTTGTAATGTTTTATCTAAAGAGGAACTTCTTCACACTTTGTTCTGCAACCAGAGGAGTCGCCCCCTGCTGGCCGTTTTATAAATCAGTGGTTTCAAACATTTATGACTCATGACCCCTTAAAGAAGCTATTTGGCACATTGTAAAATCATCAACTGTAGACTATACTATCCTCTTGTCTAATATCTCAGTGCTTAAGAAAGCTATCGAATCATTCCCTCTTTATTTCTGTCACACTACAGTATTGACAGCTGATATTTTGTGTTCGGAGTCCACGGTTTTATTTTTCGGTGACACTTTTGTGAACAAAACTTTCCCACAAACGGTGCGGAACAAGCCGCCTTGTATAAAAAGTTTAGGGGCATCAATTATGCCAACGATGGAATCTCATAAACGTGCACCTCCTCATGAACAGGTGGCATTCATGAAGCTGATAGGAATATAAAAAATTGCTCTTGCACGACATCCAGTTTTAGGATGAAGAACTGACAGAATAAATTCTGTCTATGTGAGGGTGTTACTGTGTGCTGACCTGCCAAGGCCTGTCCCAGTCCAGAGGTATAGGAAAGGCTCCCACCCAGGCTCCTATCAAAGTGCAGGCCACTGTAATCTGTAGACAGGTGTCCCACACAGACATAGCTCTGGAGACGGAGACAGAGCGAAGCAACGACACGTTAGTATATGCAATTTAGAGACTCGAGATAAGCACATGAAAGAGGAGGTTTTAGGCTCACCCGTGCCGGCTGAATACTCGTATCCAGGCCTGGACATTAGGGCCGTGGACACAGAGACACCTCAGTGTGGTTAAAGAGGTCAGCAGCACAGCTAGGGAGAAAGTCTCCAAGGCGGATCTGAAACACATAGAGAGATTTAGTGACACGAACAGAACCTGTGTCGATACAACGAAGCAAAGAATAAAACAGGTATTTTTAGGAGTGAATAATTACAGAGTTTGAAGCTTAATGCACAGAGACAAAATGAAAATCTGTGGCATGCCTTTAAAGTAATCTAACAGACGGTGTGCAAAGACTCTATTTGGTTATGTGCGTGATACATTTCAAGTTGCATTACCTACTTGCATCTGTTTTACATCCGTCTCTACACACATGAGCGTCAGCAGATACTCACTCAATCATCGGCGCTCCATAGAGAACAACCACAGTGTGGAAGAACAGGCACGACAGGAAGAAGTACAGACAGGAACGAAACAACCGAGACAGCTGCAGAAGGAAGTGGGGGAAAGGAAAAAGTTCAGATAACTTCTAAGTCAAAGAGTAAAAGTCTTTGTTTCCCTGGTATACATGTTTTCTTGTCTGTTTTATTCTATTTTAGCTTATTTGTATCTTCTACTTTTATCTTTTACATCAAATGAATGTGTATTTTTAGATTGCCTTATGTTTCTTTTCTTAATGCCTTTATGTTCCATGTGAAGCACTTTGAATGGTCTTGTATTTATTTAAAGGTACCATACAAATAAACCTGTCTTGAGGCCCTTTAGGGAGGGCCTGGCCCCTAGAAGTCATGAACTACAGAACTAAACCTAAACCAGCTAAAACATTAAATGCTACTTTAATGCATCGGTATTTGCAATATCAGCTACTGCAGTCAGTACGTTTACTTTGCATACTTTAAGTACATTTTGCCAATAATACTTCAGTACTTATACTTGTCATGCATGTCTCTGTAGTTGTACTTGAATACAACAGTCACAATGAGAGTACGTCGGAGCACCTTGTATCCCACTGTGTGCTTCTTGGTGGGCGGCGTGATGCCGAGCAGCCAGAAGACGGCGACACTGACCGCGGTGACCGCACCGGACACCGAGTAGAGCCACAGCAGGTGAGTGCCGTACACCGAGAAGCCGCGCACGAGCGCCGCAGGTAGAACGGTGGCCATGAACACCGAGGCGGCGATGATGGCGTGAGTGGACGCCATGGCTCTGATTTCATGGCCCCACATGATGAAGCACGTGACTATCTACAACAGGAGAATAAAACGGAGAAGGCAAAATTCAAATGAAGTGCTCATAAATGTTAATTCAGCAACGGATGCATAGAGGAGGTTTTAATCCATAGTTTCTTCACCTGCCTTCCGTAAACATGGAGTAACAAAGACTTCCGCTTAGACTTCACAATAAAAGTCCAATAGTATCACTCGTAAAATAAAACTACTTTTAGAGAGCTGACCTAATTGCATTCTTTATTTATCATGAATGTGATATTTTCCCACAGTAATTGCTGTCTCAAATATTGTTAAATACCATGGATGTAACCCTTACAGGAGCAATTGCCACCTTCAGTGGATTTTTATTTCGAAGAAACCTTACGAGAAAACAGGAAGTATTATTGTGTAGGTCAACCAGAGAAGAAGAAAAAAAAGAGAGAGAAAATCTCTCTCTTTTTTATTATTATTGTGTATTGTTAACTTTAATATAATGGCCCATACTTTTAAATGGATATCCTCATTCATCACCGACTACACCCACCACTCTTTAACGTGAGTGACGTCGTACTGGATTTTCTGTGACGGACGGTAATATCAGCCAATTAAATTTGAGATCGTCACAGCTTTGACCAATCAGCCTGTTGCAAGAAGGAAAGACGAAGAAACGACCGGAAGTTTACGAACATTGACCGAGCAAGCTAAGAGTTAGCTAACGTTTAGATTTTATTTTGACCAACCGCTGAAAAGCATCGATTTAAAACAAACACAGAGGAAACATGGTTTGTGAAAAGTGTACGTATCGCTCTGTTAAGATCTGTCTTTAAATCTAACCTATTTCTTGTGCTTTTAGCGCAGTATTTACATCCTTTGAAAGCTAACTTGCTAGCTAACTGTTGTTGTTTTGGTCCATGTTTTGGCCCATGTTTTGGCCCGTTAGACGTGGTATTTTCTCTACAAATTGTTTGTCACTCCTTATTTCAGGCGAGAAGAAGCTCGGTAAAGTCATCACACCCGACACCTGGAAGGATGGAGCACGGAATACAACAGGTAAACAGAGCACACAGATTCAGTGATCATGTGTTTTTGTCTGTTACTATGTTTATTTATGCAAGTGCACAAGAAAGAAATTAGTTTTTACTTATTAAACTCTCAAAAATATACTTTACAATGTTGCACATTAAACAGGAGTGAATGTCTTTAATCTGTAAACCGTAATTACAGAAATAAACCTGCTTATGTTTTGTTTAATTGTTCAGATTTCCATTGGCTTTTAATTCCCATTGCAAGTTCCCAGAGCCCACTGTGACATCTTCAAATAGCTGATTTTATCCGATCAGTCCAGTACCCCTGACCCCCAGCTTGAGAACATCTGTCTTAGATGATGATGGTTAGTTGAGTTCTTTCTGCTTCTTTCACTTTCAGAGGGTGGTGGGCGAAAGCTAAATGAAAACAAGATCCTGACTTCTAAGAAAGCCAGGTGAGTAGCTCGCTAAAGTCTGACTTCCACCATTTTCTCTGTTTTTATTGCCAGGAAGTCACACAAAATTATTTTTATTGACTCACTCTAATTGTTACACATTAACATTTATCATAGTCATTTATTCCCTTAACCTCGTATTGGTGCATCTCTAGTTATGTGTCTGTAATGCATCTCCCTCTCTCAGGTTTGACCCATACAGCAAGACGGGCTTTGCTACCTGCAGGATCTGCAAGAGCTCAGTTCATCAGTCTGGATCACACTACTGCCAGGGCTGTGCATACAAGAAAGGTATAAACTCACTCACACTGGACTTTATACTGTAAAGATAAAAAATTGACAACCTTAGCATGCATTTAAAAATGGATCTAATAACTTGTTTTGCTCTGAAGTTAAGAAGCATAAGCCGGTAAATGGTCCTTTCCATGCTCCATAATACAAAAAGTGAAGCACCTGCCCCTGATATTGCTTTTCCCTCTAAACTGATTTTTTTTTATATTGATTTTCTTTCTTTCCTCTTTTTTTCTGTCTTTAGGAATCTGCGCGATGTGTGGAAGGAAAGTTTTGGACACCAAAAACTACAAACAGACATCTGTGTGACAGCGTGACGATCAATGAACAGTTCCACGAGTGAAGTGAGAATGAGATGGATGTTTATGTTTGTCATCAATCCACAATGTCCTGCTGTAGCTCTTTTGTGTTATTCTTCCCACCTTTGTGAAAGAGAGAGACTTGCAGCTGGCTTTGCCCTCTTATTACAGAATATCACATAATGCCACTGGAGTTATTACAGTGGCCGTACACAGGGAAGCACTGTTGTATCCAAATACACCACCAGTCATCACCTGTTTCAAGTCCAGGCTTCTAGATTTTTTTGTACATTTTAAATGCAATACTTAGGCTTTAATTCTTTGCTGTTATACAAAGTTATTTTCTCTATGTAATATATCAAGTGTTTCATTTTTTTAGTGAATTAAACCATTTAATATGAAGGACATCTGACAGGATTCTTTTTTTACCTCTGCCTGACGCCATAAAGGGTACAATTTTAGCCTCTTACGCACAACATACTCGTATCTGTCCTGTATGCCGGTAATAATTGGTTTACTCTTACATAATCGTATTTGGAAACTGCTCACTGTGCTGTCAGGTGTGCCCCCCCCCTCCTCCATTGCTGTCAGAGATAAAGGTTATAGTTCACAGGTTGTCTGATGACAGACTCCTCCTTTGATATCTAAAGGCCTTGCTCTCCCTCAGGCCTTCAGCCGCATGTGCGCACACTTGTTTTTATGTCTCATTGATTTATGTTGTACCACTGCATAAAAAACGGCATCCGTCTCTAGCTAATACAGGTAATATACAGTAGGTAATGTTGGGATGTAGCTAACGAGTCGGAATAACCTTCCTAAGGAAATTTAAAATAAACTGTACTTTGGTTACGAGTGAGTTCAACTGGTATATTTATATGGATCCTTTAGTTTGCTTGTCATATCACTGCCATTTTGCTCCTGTTATTCTGTGTCGTGGGGCGTTCAGGGACATCATACTATCCCAGTTTATAGCTGTTACACAGCCATCCCTAGAGCCCTCATGTTTAGTCAATTTAATGTTCTCACTTACACGCTACATACTCAAATCTATTATTAGTATGGAGTATAAAAAGTAGGTGTCTTTTGTAATGTCATTTGTAATGTAATGTCATCAGTGCAAACAATGCACTGAACGGTTTTCTTGGCTGTTATCGCTTATGAACAAAGGAAGGTTCACAACATTCACATTTCATTGAAATCCTTTTATTTTAGCGAAGAATCTTCCAAATACATGAGACAGATATAATCATTTGCATCTCAGAAACGTCATACATTACAAAGACTTTATAAATGACAGTTAATTAAATTATTAAAATCCATGGATTGTAAGTACGATGATAGTCAGGGAAGGTGTGAGAGATCCACTTTGCAAAACCACCAATGACATTCCTATTTAAAAAAAGTGAAAATCTTCAGTATTGACATGTTCCAACATCAGGTTTCATACTTAATAACACAATTGCAATATAAGACATTAAATGTAAAATATCTACCAAAGGCACCAAGAATGTTAGTCTTATATTTCCTATAAAGTTCACAGTGATGATTTCTGCAGCTGGACTGAAATCTTTCAGGTCAGTGAAGTGAGCTCCAGAGTTTGCTTGGATCCTGCATCAAACAGCAGCTTTATGTTTCCTGCTATTGGTTTGTATGTGTTCTTAAAAGTCAGATGCAGATCTACTGTTACTCTGGAGCTTTGCATGTGCTACAGAGGCCCTGGAAGGACTGACAGTCGTTAGTTCTGTGACAGAGACAGGAACTCCTCCCTGGTTTTGGGGTCCTCCAGGTAAACTCCCAACATGACGCTCGTCACTGTGCGGCTGTTCATCTTCTGGACACCACGCATGACCATACACATGTGCCTGCAAACACACACAAATGGCACATCAGATGTGCAGCTGCAGCATTTGACGTGCTTTGAGAAAAGTCGTCCGAGGAAAGCGGGGAATGTTGAAATGAGGGAATACGCATGTACCGGCAGTCTCATTATTGAACGCTGACCTTTTTAAATTTGCCCGTGTGGTAGTAGGGCAGCTTTAAATTATACCGATGATGATGAAATTGTGATGTGTACTTACGCTGCTTCAATAACCACAGCTACACCTTTTGGCTCCAGAGCCTCTGATATTCCCGTGGCAATCTGCTTGGTTAGACGCTCCTGAACTGAAAGAGACAAAACATTGGAGCATATGTGAACATGATGAAGCCAGATTGCATTCAAGTTCTTGGGTAAACTAGAAGAAAAGGGCTGTTGATTATATGCACAGTCGGTTATTTATTTGGTCGCTTACCTTGAAGCCGCCGACTGAAGATCTCCACAATCCTGCAGAAAGCAGAGCACAAGCACATTGAAGAGGAAGGATTAAAGATCAGGCATAATAATGATTCATCTTTTGACAAACAGTCCCTGACTCTCGGCCTGTACTCTGGCCATCCAAATGTACAGACCCTTCACCTGTGAATGATTCACCCTATACAGCTCTGTGATGCAAGACCCAACAACAGCAACAAAAAAACTCTGACTCTGTTACTGTTATTCTGGGTTCGTATGTTCAGAGATGGTGTGATATTTTAGGAAAGGGAGAAAGAAGGAGACAGACAGAGGCTGTGATAATAACTGGTGATTCCCACAGGTCTGAGGGGATTTTCTCATGGCTCGAGAGCGGATAGAGTTCAGACTGCGAGTGTGCTTGATGAGGGGACTAGATGATGGCCACTGGGCTTAGACTTAATCCTGCAGGTCAATGTGCTGAAATAACAGAAGAACGCAGCCACCCGGCACCAACACCAGACACACAGCAACATTTGCAGCGGCAGGGTTATGATGTGTGTGTGCGCGTTACCTTGCCAGCTTGCTCAGTCCCACCACTTTTTTGTTGGGAATATATCCGATGTGAACCTGGAGAGACAGCAGGTGTCGCATAATTAGAGCAAAGAATGGTGAATATTATCAATTCAAATGCTCACCATATAACACTTAGACACACAATCTTATGAGGACTTAATATTTGCTTTTTATTATCAAATGAAATGCTAACTTCATAATGTTTAGAAACACACTTTAATGATGATTTAATATTTGCTTTCGGCCCAGAAACACTTCACATGCACAAGCCCCTTACTCCCCCTCACCCACACACACTCCCTACACACCACACCCTACACACACACACCCACCCTACACACACCCTACACACACACAC